CCTCCCAAGTAGCTGGGACTACAGGCGCCCGCCACAACACCCGGCTATTTTTTGTTGCAGTTTGGCCAGGGCTGGGTTTGAACCTGTCACCCTCAGTATATGGGAGTATATGGTGCCAGCGCCCTACCCACTGGGCCATAGGTGCTGCCCTGAACAATAAGTTTAAAAACTGTAATTTTATTTGATTGGTAATATACAGGGTGTCCATAAAGTTCGTGTGCAATTTAAAATTTATATGGTTTAAAAAACAAAAAGTATCAACAGCAATGAAACATCTTTCATTCACATTTGTTCCACCAAGTACCTTCTAGAGGAAAACCAGTGTAATTAATTTCCTCTGACCTTTCTGGAGGCATTCCAGGCAGGTGCAAGTGAATGTTTACATATATGATCCTTTCCCCCTCTGCCCTGCAAAAACGAGAGTATTATGTACTTTTCTGTTAAGCTGGAGGTGGGGATAGTTTTTGGCCAACAACAAACTGTTCTGTACAACATTTGTTGGAGTTGGGACCTATCTGTTACAGAGCTTCATTTGGACTTCCAGCTTGCTTTGCCAGCTTTGATCCCAAGGTCATTCGAGTGAGATGTCAGCTGCCCGGTTGGCTGTGCCACTGGAAAAGCACCCATTGAGCACATGCTCTTGCAACATTAGTTTCTTTTTTGGTAAAAGTACACAGATGACAGTCGCCTTTCCTAGTTTGCAAGGTGCAGTAGAAGTAGCACAGCTTTACCACACTGCTTACCACACTGAATTTAGGCCTACAGCAAGAGTAGTGAAGTGAACTTCCTGCCCTCTCCACTGGGATTTGGCTGCCTGCCCGTGGCATCTTCACTCTGATGTACTTGATTGTTTTCTTGGCCCACTCCAGCCCAGGGAAATGGAGTAGAACTCGGCCAGTGACACTGAAGCAGAGCAATTGAGAAATGTGCCGATGGTTTGGGCTGGCTGCCTGGCTCCATTAATTAAGGGGTCAGACGGGAACAGTTGGCTTTTCAGCCACGGCTGTGGATGCAGAGCCATTCCAGTCCTAGAGAGAGGATCACGACCTCCCCAGGAGGGATTTAAGGAAGGGGTATTCAGCACCGGTCAGTAGACATTTTACTGGTGCCTGGTTAGATCCTTAGTTTATGCAAGGATATAGACATGGCAGGACACAATTCCTGCCCTCTTTTTCAAGTCAAGATAGATAAGGGCTTAGAAGATAAGAACAAAAGAATTGCAAAGTGAATGGTATAGAACCTCCATAGTTGACCTCTTCCCTCCATTGACCATCTTCATATGTTGACCAGTTTGTTACAGTCCCTTGTGTGGTCAACTTATAGAGGTTCTTCTGGATTTGTTACAAGATTAGATTTACATTTTGTTTATTTATTTATTTAGATAGTCTCACTTTGTTGCCCTCTGTAGAGTGCTGTGGCTTCATAGCTCACAGCAACCTCAAAGTCTTGGGCACGAACAATTCTCTTGCCTCAACTTCCTGCCACAACATCAGGCTATTTCTTTTTTTATTAGAGACAGAGTCTCACTTTATCGACCTCGGTAGAGTGCTGTGGCATCACAGCTCACAGCAACATCCAACTCCTGGGCTTAGGTGGTTCTCTTGCCTCAGCCTCCTGAGTAGCTGGGACTACAGGTGCCCACCACAAGGCCTGGCTATTTTTTGGTTGTAGTTGTCATTGTTGCCTGGGCTGGATTCGAACCTGCCAGCTCTGGTGTATGTGGCTGGTGTCTTAGCCGCTTGAGCTACAGGTGCCAAGTCACTATTTTTTTTTTTAAGACAAAGTCTCACTCTGTTGCTCTAGGCTAGAGAGCTATGGATATCATAGCTCACAGCAACCTCTAACTCTTGGGCTCAAGCAGTCCTCTTGCCTCAGCCTCCCAAGTCACAGGAACATAGACACCTGCCACAACACCCAACTAGTTTTTTTATTCTTAGTAGAGACAGGGTCTTTGCTCAGGCTGGTCTCAAACTCCTGAGCTCAAGCAATCCACCCGCCTCTCCTTCCCAGAGTACTAGGATTATAGGTGTTAGCCACTGTACCTGGCCTAGACTTTTGCTAATTTTAAAACAGATTGCCAAGACCAAGACCTACCCTTCTAAACCTGGTCCTTGTGTCAGGAATGTAAACTTGCTTAAGTAGTATTTTCACTTGGGACTTGGAGGTAGCTCAAGGTGCTTGTGTAAATAAAGGTGTGGGATATATAAACTTATAGCTAAGAGATAGCTGTAACCCTTACTCTGAGTGCTACCCTCATGTCAGCTGTCATCAGTTGTAATCCAGTTGTCAGCCTACTGAATCTAGTGGCTTTGTAGAGAGCTTTGGGCACGAAGGACCTGGGCCACAAAGTAAACAGGTTGTATAACGTGTGCTTGTCTGTCCTTTGGTGACCCTTCTTTCCTCTAGACAGGTCAGACAGGGGATGCCAGAGGAGGGGCCCTTGTGTACCCAGCTGAGCCCTGCTGTGCTACCTACTGCTGGTGGTGCAGGGAGGGTCTTCCTAACCTGTATGGCTTTTCCTGGCCCTGTGACTTGTGACTCAGAAACACAACAAAAGCTTCTCCAGTTCTTCCAAAGATAAAAGAAAGGTCTTTTGTTTGTTTTTACCAGTACTTTGGGAAACTCACCCAGATACAATGCGAAACACAGTTCTAGAGCTAAAACTCAGGGCTGTGTTTACAGCCAAACTTCTGTGGGGGGGAGTACATGTACAGAAACGTAACCCAAACCTCCTTGGAGGCAGAGGTACAATGGTACAAGGAGAGGCCTGGGGAATTTGAATCCCTGGATTTCTGTCCTGGTGTCTCACATGGTAGCCCTGAGCCCTTGGGCAAACTGCTGTTCTCTAAGAACCATAACTGGTACCTAACCTATGGCTAGGATTAAGTTAAGACATCCAGGACATCCTGGAAAAGTGTGTGGTGACTAGCACTGAATAATTGTCAGCTGCTATTATTTTTTTTAGTTTCATCATCGTGAAAGAGCTCTCATGGACTGGCTTGGTCTTCGGCCCAGCGGCAGAGGCTGAAGATGGGGAAATGACAAGAAGAGTGACTGATAGGCCGTTAGAGGACTGTTCTTGGAAGTTGCTTGCTTATCTCTCTCTCTTTTTTTTTTTTTTTTT